TCTCCCGCTACAACGGTTGGTTCCGCCTCTCCTGCTACGACCGCAGGGCCCCGCCCTGGTCAGGTATGTTTTTGATGATCCCAGCGTATCTCCGAAGGCTTCTGTTGTAATTATCGTTGTCTTGGGCGCTTCTGGACTTGACCCGATCAGATGCGCATCGGGTCGAGCTCCCAGGGATCGTCAAAAACATCATTTCTCTCTGTCTATTGTGTTCCGATTGAGATCTGCCTGGCTTATATATTTTTTTTGACCTGCTTTGCTGACAATTCCTTTCTTGATTAACTAGGTCTACTCATTCGTACCAATTCCCGGCGCACAACAGCATAAGCGCCCCCGTCGTCGATACGAGGAGATTGAGCGCATGTACAAGTGTGGGTGGAACGGTTGTGAGAAGGCATATGGTACTCTGAACCACTTGAACGCCCATGTGACAATGCAATCGCACGGTGCGAAGCGCACTCCTGAAGGTGAGTCTTAAACTGCTGTTTTTATTTTCTTTCCCGCGGCACAATTGGTCGCAAGATCCTCGAAGTTGTCGCAAATCGCTGGATTGGGTTAGCGCCGGTACCTGCACGCTAGCGAGTTACACTAGATCTCGCGGGGCCGCAGTAGCGTGGACGACGGCGTGGAAGGTTAAGCTTGGTTAAGCATGCCTCCATCCCTTTCTACCATGCCATGATCTGCTCACCACGCCCTTGCTGCCTGTCTCAGTTGATTCTTTTTCAGAGCCTTTTTTTTTCTTTCTCTGTCTAATTTCTATCTCCCCTTCCCCATACTGACATTTGCCTTTCTAGAATTCAAGGAAATTCGCAAGGAATGGAAGGCTCGCAAGAAGGAAGAAGAAGCTTCGCGCAAGGCTGCCGAGGACCGTGAGCGTGTGGCCGCTCAGGCACAAGCTAGTCAAGTCGATGGCCCCGGCCCCGACCCCTCCCAGGGACAACCTCCGGCTTACGGTGGTGGTGTCCGCCCTCAACTTCCCCCCATCGGATACCAACCCGCGGACAGCCAAGTCCCTAGCCAGTATGGTGCTCCGAGTGGTGGAATGGTTTACCAGAGTAATGGACAAATGGGGTACCCTCCCAACCCCAACTACCCTCACTCTCCATACCAGACCGGACCCGTCTACCAGCAACGTGAGTAAAAAAAAAACATACGAACACCAAAGCATGCCGCGCCATTTGTTTCTCTGCCAGGACTTGCGATCCCTCTCATTCATGGAACTTTTGGATTTTTTTCTACCCTCCCCTACTGCTTCGGTCCATACCGTTCACCCACGCCCACTCCCATCCCAGGACTGGTTGGCTGATAATTTGGCCCACTCGCCATGACACTCCAGAGACTCAATCGACCGGCTACCCGCAATAATTACATAATTCGCCTTACTCCTACGCTGTGAAACGGGAATCTGCATCTCCTTTTTTCTCATCTCCTGTCTTGTCAACCCTTTTTTTTGGTCTTCTAATCACGATATCCCATTGCCTGACTCATGTCGTCTCGGAACCCCTCTGAACCCCCCCCCATCTCTCCATTCCTTTCCTCTCCAAGTCTTCTTTCCTCGATGATACCAAACCTCTTGCGGCTTTAATTTAACCAGTCAAAGAGAGTGTCTTTCTGGCTTTGTTTTACCTGCGAAAAAAATCTTCTCTTTTTTTTTCTCGTCTATTAGAGAGTGTCTACGTGCATCCAGCTCTTGTGGAAGCGGGGAGGGTTATTTGTTTGTCTGTGTCTGTTTCACTTCTGGCTCGCTTGCTTTGCCCGTTTGCCTCCAGGGTGTATTGTGACTGCAGGAAATCGGTTAGGTGGCGGAACTTACTTTTATGCATCAGTATTTGTACCGGTCCTGTTGATTATATCTCTTTTTCTTTTCTTTTCTTCTCTCCTCGTCTCATCTCTTTTCGACTGCGTGGGCATCTTGAAATTTTTTTTTCTCTCTCCCAAAACGGGGGAGGGCAGTTTTCTCTCTTCGTTATTTCCCATATTGTTCTGGGCGGGCTTTCGTTGTTAATTATGTTCAGTTTTGTTTGTCTATGTCCTGCCCTATGTTTCTATGTCTCCGTATGGAAGTTTGCTACTGGCAGGTTATCCCTTGCTTCTTCCTGCTTTATCCTCCTCTCTTCAAGATCTTCTCTTCCGTGTTTCGTATATTCTGCTGGTCTGGTCTGGGCTGGGCCGTCTCAGGTCTGGAATGCATTCTTGTACGCCTATGGCTTGTGTATAGTCGGTTAGACTGTATTCATGATTGCTTTTGGGACTCCTCGATTCGATTTCCAGTAAAGAAAAGACTCCAGTGATCTACTCCATCTTCCATTAGCTCATCTGTAGAACCTACCTTGGAAAGTGCTAACCTAAACAGCAAGAGCAGGGCACAAAGAAGACGATGTCGGGCAGCAACTTTAGAAAATCCCCCCACACCACCATCACCACCACCATCCATCATCCCACTAGCGCCAACCGTCGTAATTTTCATTATTATTTTCAAATAAGGTTAAAATTGCCGCCCACCCCGACCCCGACCCAGGATCCGGGTAAAATGTCAGCCTAGATGGAAATCCCAGCCTAAAGGTCACCGGTTTTCTCCACACGTTCGGATCCTTGGCCATGGGCTAGCTAGCTAGGCTAGCGGGATCGGGCTTGGTAGTGTACTGTACCTAGTACCTACCTTAGTGATGGTCCAGCGCTAGTAAAATAAAAGTCAAAAGTCAAAAAGAACAAGGTTAGGTTAGGTTAGATCCGATAAATGCTAGTGGCAAAGTTCTTTTTCTTTACTACTAGTACTAGTAGTAGTGTTAGCCACATACGATACATACAGGACCCGGACAAAATAAGCGTACTAGTATCATGCGTAGGGCTGATTTTTATTTTTATTTTGGTGATGGGTGAAAATACGGGGTGATTAGCAGATAATATTGAGGATTTCCTAGCAGCCGTTGTGGTACAACGCTGTACTTAGATGGGATTAGGTTGTATTGTATTTGGGTATATACATACGTACATACATAAGAACTCGGCCCCGGAGCTGGCTTCATGGTACGTACCACAAGTGTGGCTTGGGGTACGGGATTGGCGTCAGTGGCTTTAGAGCCTGAGACATGTGTGCGGAATGGGGTTGGGGCCATCCAGCTATCCGGTCATGATTGCTTTTTTTAGGTGGTTCTTCTACTCGTATTTTGATCGGTCGTTACTTTTTGAGTATAAGTGGGAAATTATAAATTGTGGCTTTGAGAATTGGTGAAAGAGTAATAGGTGATTGTACATGAGCACTTGCATGGAGTTCTAATAATGGAAGAAAAAAAACACTAGTAATATTATTAGGATTATAATATCGAACAAGCTTTTCTTCCTCAGCGATACAATAACGGGGCCGCATGCGAGCTAGGATTCGTCCGGCAGTAGTACTAGTATTGTGACGGGGCTAGTCACAGATGTGATTGAGAAGTAAGCTGCGGTGTACAGGTACACGACACGCACCATGTCCGTGGCGCAGTCCTGGATGGGATCATGGCGTTTCCGAATCCTCAATTGGGATTAGTGTGGCTGCCACCCACGTGGGACGATGGTCCCCTGCAGATGTTGTGAAGCTGGAAATGTGTTTATTTGAGTTGGTAGTTGATAAAAATATTCAGTATGGTGTGGTGGATTGGTCTGGGTGCGTTTGGAACGGTGGGTACTGGTCGAGGGTCATTGGGGATTTTGGTACGAATTCAAGCTAAAATTATATGATAGAGATGAAGATAACTGTCCTTGTGTCGGGGCTTCATAGTATTTAAAGTTTGGGGGATTCAGTAGGGATTGCATGATTAAGTTGGGCTGTTAAGTACTGTCCTAATCCCTTGGCCCCCAAGGCGTTACTTGTACCCTATAGTGCTTACTTTTTCCAGAGTATACATGCACTAATCTTTGGCCTGGATTATCCGTTATTCATAGCAAATTAAATGAAATTCAAAAGATTTCTCTTCATGCAATAGAGTTGGCCGCATGCGCTGCCAAGTTTGTCATTTTCGAGGATGGGGCTTGATTGACGATTCTCGAACCTCCTGCATGGATTAGAGCAATAAGTACTAGTACTTTATGCGGCAAGCCAATTGGCAGCCCTGGAGTTGCTAGATTGAAACCTAATTCATTCAGTGGCTTTGGGAAATGTTTTGCTTGGGGCTATTCCCATTCGTTCTGTGCATGTGGCTTTGCCCACTAACCGCTGGTCTTTAATCTTCGCCTGGTGAGAGTAGACATGGGTATGTTATGCATTTGAAGACTAGATAGTATCATGTTAGGAGTATGTTGTGCAGTAGCACCGAACCCAGAATCGGGCTAATGCAGATCACGTACCGCAGTTGAGGCCCGGGAACTAGTACTGTAAGTCTGGCAATAAGTTACTGGTACTAGTACAATCGAATGTAGGGCTTACTAGCGGCCCGCAGTCTCCATGCCTGCAAGTTAAACTGCTTGAGGTTAGTCTTGCCGCACCATGTGGCCCCAAGCCTCAGGTGTCAATGTCACGTGAGCATTCCTGCCTGATATAACAGGGCGAAAAATAGGTCTAACCATATAGGGACTAGCACCAAAGACCTCCGTGAAATTATTGCGGACTTCCGGCGCGACAAAACAGACTGGAGTTTTCCAGTGTCTACTTTTTGGAAAATATACTCCGTGACCTAGAATTCATCAATAGCCTGATACCAGACCTCAAACCTGGTGATGGCTGGTCAACTTCCGGCCTCTGTCCTGAGCAGAGCTCTGCGCAGTCGAGGAATTCGTCCGCGGCTCACGTTGGCAAGCGCTCAATGCCTAACCCGAAGAGCCCTTTCACCACAAGTCCAACGATCTCTCTCCTCGGAAACATCTGCCAATGATTCTATACCATTTGAAAATGACCCCGAGAACGAGCCCGAGACTTCGCCTCATTCACAGCCGGCCCCATCGCTTCGCGGTCGAGACAATGCCGATGAAAACCGGGAGGGGGCCAAGGGCAAGGCAAGCCCAAATCAGAGGGACAGGCGATCATGGATATTGCCTCTGCTACAGTGACCGATGGACATGGCTTCACTAACACGTCAATCGCGATGGAGTTGAAATGGGTGGCCGACCCCAAACATCTGGCAGATCGAGTCGGGCGTCTCCTGCGTACAGGCGATTTGGCACAAGCTGCCGCTCTGACTCGAGAGGCACAGCGCAGGCAAATGAGGTCCGACGGAGCGTGGAACCACTTAATGCGATATGCCATGGATAAGGGCTACCCGGAGGCTGCGTTCAAGTTCTACAATGATGTGAGTTCCCTAAGTTTCTGCGACGGCTTTAGGAAGAGCTTCCCCAACCTTTTCACATTAGTAAGAATTTGTGACTGACCTGGCTTTTGTTTGCCCCTATAGATGAAAAAGCGAGGCCAAATGCCAACTGCCAAAACGTATACTGTCATGCTCCAGGGCTTCGCCAACCAACCACAGTCTCGTCTCCTTGTCAAAAAGGCCGAATCTGTATATCGATCGATCTTCTCGAAACAGTCACAAGTCAAACCAAACATCATTCATTCAAATGCTATGCTTGGAGTCTGCCAGCGTCATGGCGACATGGACTCTCTCTGGCGAATTGCTGGAGAAATGCCCGACGAAGGGGACGGAAGGCCGGATGAGAGAACATATAGTATAATTTTGGCCGCCCTCCAGCACGCTGCCCGCAATGATGTTCAAAAGATGGATGCCAGTCAGATCGACCAAATCATTGCTCGCCAAGAAAAAATGGTCATTGAAGGCAAGAGAATATGGGCTGATGTTGTTTATCAGTGGAAAGAGAATGGCCTGGACTTCAATAACCAGCTTGTGAATTCGATGGCCTATCTCCTTCTTGATGGTGTTCACGACAGCGATTTCTACGATATATTCGCCCTGTACAACCAAACCATGGGAATTCCTATTCTTGTGAAGAAACCGACAGCAAACATCAATGCCTCTCGCCGACGAGCTGAATTCAAACTTACGACTGAACACCGAGCCCAACTTCAAATTTCGAAAATGGACGGGGCAGTAAAGCCAGCCGAGGATGTCCCATTCGTCGACGAAAACAATAGACCCATAAATTCAAATGCCGAGAACAATAGGACCGAGGAAGAGACATTGATGGAGGAGGAAGAGATGGAACGGGAGGATGACTTTGAGTCGCTCTTCGAGCCTGTCGTTACCAAGTCTGTCGCTACCGAGCCTATTGCCGCCGAAGCCGGGGAACAACAACTTCCAAAGCCTGACAACAAGGATCTCACCATGATCCTGACAGCCTGTTTCAATATGACTCAAGGATCTGGCCAGGGCCCCGATTATTGGGATTTGTTGACCAAGGGGCCAGATACGCTCCGCGTCCAGCCCGACGAAGTCTCCTCCATGGTTTATATGCGTCTCCTTCGTCAAACACGATCTAGCAAGATTGCCGTGCAAACAATCCGTGAGCAATTGCTTCCCGTACGTCTTGCAAATGGCAATGCGTTCCACGTTGCGCTCGCGACTTGCCGTCGCGACCGCCGTAACAAACACATTCTCGTCCTAATGAGCGAGCTTTTGGACATGATGCGCAAAGCCTGGATTCTTCCTGACCCCCGAGTCCTCGAAGGGTATCAGAATTTCATCGAGACGTTGTGTGATGATCCACAAGTCCTCATGAACATGGACGGTCTGGGAAAAATTTCCAAACATTCCACCTTGCAATCATTGGGCAAGCAACTAGTGACCAATCTGCGTCTCAAATCTCTGGCCACATTGCGCCCCCATGTGATCCAGATTCACGAGGCTATACAGTCAGGCAAGGTCGGCCCAAAGACCCGCTGGGAAGATCTCAAAGAGAACAGATACGGAAGACCTCAAATGAACGGCCATATTTGTCTTGGTATTATGAATGAAGCTCGCAGAGTGATTGGCGAGACATTGAAGCCTGAATTCTCGAAATTCGTCTCCAAGGCCGAGCAGAAGATTCTTCTTGCGGACTCGAAAATGCTAAAGCCCTACTCTGACTCTGCTACCATCAAGGCTATACAGAATAAAACGATATACCCGACTCGGGAGCAGCGAGTTGCTTTTGATGAGATGCAGATGGAGTTTTTGGAGCTTGGTATGGGATGGATACATAAGAAGAAGAAGAAGAAGCAGCAGGAAAAGGTAAATGAGCTTTTGAAGCCTCCGCAGCTTGAAGCTGAAGTCGCACCTGAGGCCAAGCCTGAAGTCGAGACAAAGCCTGAGGCCGAGACCAAGCCTGAGGCCGAGACCAAGCCTGAAGTCGAGACCAAGCTTGAAGCCGAGACCAAGCTTGAAGCCGAGACCAAGCCTGAAGCCGAGACAAAGCCTGAGGCCGAGACCAAGCCTGAGGCCGAGACCAAGGCTTGAAATTGATTTTGAAGCTTCGGATTTTTGTGAAGCCAAGGCATGTGTGCTTCCTGTACTATAATATTGTTTTTTCTACAACTGTACTATACTCTATACTATTCGCATTGGTCTGACGGCGCGGGGCGCTTGGAAATGTATATTAAGAGCATCTCTCTCTCACACATCGCGAACATATCAAACCCTCATTTCCATTTACAATTTTCTACCGCTCTTTTCCTCAGAAGTTCACAGAAGTGGCTTTCAGACATCTATATTAGTACTACTACTAGTATTTCTCTCCAGGGCTTTCTCACCAGGGTGCAAACCTTGGAAGCTTCAAGTTGATTTACTGGATCTTAAGCACCCACAAGAAACTCCCAATAAGATTAGCCAACTTTGTGAAGCCATCGGGTTTGAAATTGACATCGTCTACTGCCAGCAAGCAAAATTGAGGTGGCACAATTGGGGCTATCGTCCACTGTGTACTACGGACTATAGTGATGGGGAGGACCAAACAGTATCAGAAACGAATTTTGTAGTTGATTCAAAAAATCTCATAACGGAGGGGATAGCGGAAGGGTAGAGGAGCCCCGAGAAAATCCTACCCAGCCGTACCGATACACGAAGGATCACTTCTTGTGTCAGCTTCTTCCTGCGTGGGTGAACTTCGTCCACGGCTCGTCAGAGCTAGAGCCGGAGGTGGTGGTAAGGCCGGCAAGGCCAGAGAGTGGATTTCTGGAGACGGGCATCGTTGCAGGTGGGCCCCCAGGCTTGATGTAAGCTACGCCCGGCTTCTTTGCGTGATGTTGTCTTGTCCTGGGTTCTATGCCTTCCTTGAGGAGATTTTGGACCCCCGTGGATGACCCGCTCGAAACCGAGTCCGAGTGCCGTTTGAGTAAAGAGGGCAACAGCCGCCTTCTGTTTGATCTGGCTGTTCTTCACCTTCAAGGTGGTCTCGTCGATAGGCTTTACACCGGGGCGAATTGCTCGCAATGAGCGATGAATGGCTTCTTGGTTGGTGAGGTAGGCTAACACCACGTTTATGAGGGTGAACACAACATTAACAATGGATGGTGACCTGGATCTGTTACTACCACAGTAAGTTACTGATGCTATGCATAATTGTGCCATGAACTTGCCTAAGATTATCAACATCGGAGTCCTCTTGACCCTTTTCGGAGCCGACAAAATCTTGAACGATGAGGATAAGACCCTTGAGTCTTAGTTTAAGACAATGATACGCTCTTTTCTTCTTGTGTCTTGGTGCGGCCTTTGTTTTCATCGCTGTCCATATCTGTTCGGAATCCGGGAAAACTCTTGTTTAGAGGATGGAAGTTGGAAGTTGAAGTTGGAAAGAATCAGTATGATGGCAGGGGCGAGGAGTTCAAAATTGGTGTAGTAGGATGTCAATGGTGTGTCATGCCATTCCGTGGCACAGATTAAGGCGTTGTTGAAAGGGCAGCTACGACCCTATCCCCATTTAATAGCTACTAGTAGTAGTACTGGTAGGTACAACTCGGTGCTTTTTTTGGGACGTTTACCTACTTCGTAGGAACTCAAGATCCTTCGCTTTTTTTTTAACAGATGGCTATAGCGGACTGGCTAGGAGACTTATCAGAAACGGATGACCTGAATGTTATTGATTGAGCAAAGCGGTCGGGGACCACCAGATAATATTGGGGATAAAATAGTAGTACATCATTGACGTCCATGGAGTTGGCTCTCTCAGTGTATAGAATACTTGCCACTGGTAGTATCGTGCGAGGATAAAAGCGGCGACAAGAGCACGGCAATAATTGTAAGGCCATAAAGGAAAGGACGAAAAGCAAAAGAGTAACGGCGAGGCCATGAAGCATTGTCTGGTTCGTGAGGTACGGCCTGGCCAATTTCAAGAGAGCGATCGCCATCACGTCTTCACTCCACTCTGTGACATGTATTTTGGCCGTCCAGTCAGTACGATTCCTGCAGACGTCAGGCCAACTAACTGCCCTAGATGATGAAATTCCAAAATGAGGCGCATATGAATTTCCCTTTTGAGAGAGTGTCGTATTATAAGCTGAGCGTCCGTTCACGTATTCACATATTCTCAACTGCCCTGTCCGTCACGCCATTGCTATGCCTAGTGACACCTTGCATACACAGCGGACCTTATCCGTATCTCTCTGAAGAAACCTTGAAAAGCAAATGCAAATAAACTGGAGATTTATCCCGCTGACCTTTCTTTTCTCGAAGAAAAATCCGATCTCATTCGAGCGTGTGGCCATTTATTGAATATGAGCGTGCCTCAACAGCGCCGAAAATGGTATTATTTACAATGGTTTGCGGACCATGATACAAAGGAGGAACGGCGCCTTATCTTGAAACTGGATCTTTTAATTGTTCCCTATGCTTTTCTAGCATACTGGACCAAGTATATTGACCAAGCCAATATCAGTATGAAGACCCAAATAACACACTCCCGAAAATTTGAACTGTTTCTAACTCCATGGTCAGACAATGCTTACGTATCCGGTCTCAAAGAAGATCTGGGTTTTAATGGAAATGAACTGGTCCAACTTCAGACGATGTACACCATAGGAGCTGTAATTGGGCAATTACCTTTTGCGTTTTTGTTCACAAGGTTACCTATGCACTGGGTTATCCCATTTATGGATATTGCATGGGGTATATTTACCTTGGTGCAGTACCGAGCAAACTCGTACGCAGAACTTGCTGCATACCGCTTCTTGGTCGGCTGGTTTGAGGTATGTGGCATGCCTAGGTTAAGTAAATTGAGCAAGTGGAAGGGAGGCTAATTTCACACAGGCACCCTACTACCCGGGAATGCATTTTATTTTCGGTAATGACCCAGCTTTCATCTCCAAAGACTCATAACTGACTGAAGCAGGCTCATGGTATCGCAGCGACGAAATTTCGCGCCGAGGAGGATGTTTCTATGTTGGCCTGACGCTGGGTACACTCACAGCAAGTCTCATCCAAGCTGGAACATCAAGTAGCCTTGATGGGGTCAATGGACTTGTTGGCTGGAGATGGATGTACATCATCTGTGCCGTCATAACCATTCCTGTTGCAATTCTGGGCTACTTCCTTCTCCCTGGAACTCCGGACAAACCAAATAGATGGATCCTCAAGGAGAAAGATATTCAACTGGCCAAATCCCGTCTTGAAAAAGCATCACATAGCGTTCGAGAAGAAGCCATAACCTGGCGAACAATTCTGAGTGTCGGTCGCAACTGGAAATTCTGGGCCCTTCTTTGGCTCAACATCTTCTTCTGGAATGGAAGTATTAATACAACAACCGGCGGCTACCAGCTGTGGCTGAAGAGCCTTGACAGGTTCTCGACCAGTCGGTTGAATGAACTTGCCGCCGTATCTCCAGCCCTGGGAATATTTTATACTCTTTTCGTATGCTTTGCATCGGATCTTTTACTCGGACCTGCTTGGGCTATCACGCTTTCACATACCTGGAACATCATTGGTCTCATCATCCTTGTTATATGGAAAGTCCCGGAGTCGGCACTATGGTTTGCCTTCTTTACCACATACTCAGCTGTCGCAATGTCAAGCGTTCTATACGGCTGGATCAATAGCCAGCTGCGGTCTTCTCCTGTTCAGCGAGCGGTGACCCTTGTCATTGTCAATATGATTGCGCAGTCGACTACAGCCTGGACTCCGCTATTGGTTTTCAAAACAGTCGAGGGCCCGCGTTTTACAAAAGGATACTCATTCGTTCTCGGAAATGCAATTTGCTTGATTATACTTGCACATATTGTTAACTTTTTTATCTCAAAAGAAAGGTAAGTTGCTGAGCCACTTTTTGCGAAACCGCATCAGTCTAATCATTTTATCTCTGCTAGGAAAACCGAGACTTCAACGATAGATACTAGTCCTAGTGCTCACAATTCTGACGGTTCAAGTGACTTGGAAAATGGGGCTCAACAGAACCTAGAATTTGGAAAGAAGAACCATCACCCATGATTTTTTGGTTGACGGAATGTGGTTGATGACTTGTGCCTAGGTGGTGTCCATAGTCAAAGCAATTCTATCCATGGATCCCCAGTAGAACCTTGGAATATATTCTTCAAGTTTTCCTCAAAGAAAGGCTGACACTTCATTTTCTTTTCTATTACTGCCTTTGGCTGCTATCTAAATGTAGTACTGCCGTTTACTATAACCAACGGAGCTTCAATTGAACTTAACTTGCGACAATCTACACCCTTGAATCTATAATCACAAATCTTTCACGCGGTACTTAATTACCTATTATCTCTGGCAATGTTATTAGTTAATGACAGCTAGTAGTCTATAAATGATCATGATGTTCAAGAATTGTACAAGACTAGGATACGGCCGACAAAGAGTCACGCCATTCCATCGCGGATGGTGAAATAGCTTTAGTGAGTCGGAGGGTTTGAACCCCTCATTTTATTTCCGTTCCCCAATATCCACTTGGGCTATTCCAGTCACAACCTTGCTAAGACAGGGCCTATGCAAACCATTTCCTAGGGCTGGCATAGCTCAAAGAGCGATTCAGCCTCGTTGCGTTCTCGGTGGAGCTAATTGCGAATACCTCGGGCTCACCTTTGATACCATATGCTAAACTACCCCATAGAATTGCTCTTCTCATGATTCGGAGGATTTCCGGGTAGTTATTTGATCGTGAATGGCGTGAGATACGGTATTTATGATTAAATATCCGAGCGACGTGGTGATCAGACCAAGGCTTTTGTTCTTCTTCTCGGTCCTTTACAGATAGATTAACCCGTACATAATCACGAGAGCTGGAGATAAAGGGAACGTTGTCAAGTTGCAGCATTCAATTCAGTGAAAAGTCGCATATAGCTCGATATGGGAGACATCAATGTGTCCGCTGGCCAGGATGGCACTGGCAGTGGTACCAAAAAGCATATTTTGATTAATGCCTTTGATATGTCCACAGTAGGACATTTGTCCCCTGGCCAGTGGAAGGTATGTTGAATGAGGAACTTCAAGCTACCATAGGCATATGTGGCAATTCGCTGATAGAGATCCTAGAACCCCAAAGATAAATCGGCGACAAAACGGACACTGGAGTACTGGATCGATCTGGCAAAGCTGTTGGAGCGCGGTGGAATCAACGCACTTTTCCTCGCAGATACAACCGGAGGCTATGATACCTATGAGGGGAAGATTGACGAGTGCATCCGACGAGCTGCGCAATGGCCTGTGACAGACCCAACAATTGTGAGTTACAAAAGCACAGTCGCATAGATATCTGGACTTATTCGTTCCCACTAGCCTATCTCTGCAATGGCCGCCGTGACTAAGAATCTAGCTTTCGGTATCACGGCTTCTACCTCATTTGAACAACCGTTTCTGCTGGCAAAGCGCTTTTCGACATTGGACCATTTGACCAAAGGTAGATTGGGTTGGAATATTGTTACCTCGTACAAGAAAGCAGCCTTTAAAGCAATTGGTCTTGATACCCCGATTGAACATGACGAGCGTTACGCACAGGCCGACGAGTTCCTGAGAGTACTTTATAAGTACGTATCGGCGCCCTTCTTCTGAGATCAGACATTCAAGGCTAACCGGTTATACTTGTGAAACAGGCTTTGGGAAGGATCTTGGGCCCCAGATGCGCTTTCGCCCAACCCAGATGAAGACTCCTACGTTGACCCAGCCAAAGTCCGTCAAATCAATCACAAGGGAAAGTATTACTCACTGAATACACGCCATATTGTGGATCCATCGCCGCAAAGAACCCCATTTCTCTTTCAAGCAGGCACTTCACCAGCAGGCTCGGCCTTCGCATCGACTCATGCGGAGGCAATCTTTGTTTCCTCACACTCACCAGAAGTCCTGCGACCAAAGATCGAAAAGATTCGCCAGCTAGCAGCTGAGAAAGGTCGCGATCCGCAATCAATCAAGTTCTTTGGCACTTTCACACCTATCGTGGGACGAACCGATGAAGAGGCCCAGGAGAAGTACGAGGAGCTGAAGAAATACGCTTCAGTAGTCGGCGGCCTGGTGCTCTTCAGTGGATGGACTGGCATTGATATATCCAAGATCCCTTTGGACCAAGAGATCACAGCGGCAGATTCTCTGGAAGCTAACAGGGTGACTAGTCTCCTGGATTCACTGGTTCAAACGAGCAAGGACATACCGCGTTGGACGCCTCGAATTGTTGCCGAAAAAGCTGCTATCGGTGGACTTGGTCCTGTAGCTATTGGAAGTCCCACAACTGTCGCAGATGAGATGGAACGCTGGGTTCGAGAGGCCGGTATTGATGGGTTTAATATTGGCCATGTATCTACGCCAGGGACGTTCGAGGACCTGATCGACCTGGTTATACCGGAGTTGAGAAAGCGTGGACTTTACCCAGAGCTTCCATCGCCTTCGGATGAGCCGCTCACGGCTCGTGAGAAGGTGTATGGACGTGGTCAGAAGGAACTTCGTGATGATCACCCTGCGACTCGGTATAAGTACGACGCGTATCAGGAGGAACCGCCATATGTTGATAATTTAGAGCATGCAGAGAGTGCAGAGAATACCTAAATGTCACTGGGCAAGAAGAGGAAGGGAAAGGAATGCAAATTGAGAATTATAAGAGACAAGACAGCAAGTAGTTGTATAGCGTAAATACATGACCGCATATTTGTATGGGGAAAGGCACGGGCCCTGGTAATCTTACGGGCGGTGACCATCCACCAACGGGCGACGTAATGCCACTCTAGCCTTTCCGGGACAGCTGGTCCATCAACATTGCAACTCTTTCACTCTCCTCCGGGCTTTGCTTCTTTGGACCCCCTCGTCAAGGAGGTGATGCTCCTGCACTGAATATCTCTCAATTCCCGTCGAAAATACCCCCGTGCAAATCATGGCTAGTGTACAACCGGGCCATTCACATGGCGACCTACACGACGACGACTCGCTCCTAGATGACGACCTGATCGAGGCGGACGATGGTGAGTGCTTCAAGGCTGGTCGCTGAACTAGTTGTCACCTCTATTTACTTTGCCTTCTTTACTAACCTGATACGCGCCCTGTAGCTATCGATGCCGATGACCCCCTACATGATACCTCCGACACAGCCCCTCTACGAGGCAACATTGAAGCGGACAATGGCTCGAGAGGTGGACGGGCCTCTGGATATGGGAACTACCTGACCACTTCGATTCCGGGCGAAGACCGTCGCGCGACTCAGAACACTATTGATGAGAGTGTCTGGGCCACCCTGTCGCGAGACTTGATCGGAGTCGGCGAGAAGATGCGCCAAGTGTTGTGGCCTAAATATCTACTTGGTGGCATCATGCAGCGTGGAGGTGGTGGTATCAACGATGCTGCCGAGAGAGGCGAGGCAACTGGATTTGGCCGTAACCTGCGCGGGCTCGTGGGACGCTGGCCGGATGCCGATGTAGTCCTGCAGGGTGGAATGAGTGAGGGATTGCGCGATTGGGATCTCTGGTACGTTGATCTGACGCCCTCTGCCTGCGCATGGACACTGGAGTATAAATAAACTGACAATATGTATTTCTGCAGGGGTCCTCTGATTTTCTGCTTGGTTCTGAGTCTGTTCCTCTCTGTCGCGCATGGAGACCAGTCGTCCGTGGTCTTTTCGGGAGTTTTCTGCATCGTGTGGCTCGGAGAAGCCGCCGTTACCCTTCAGATAAAACTCCTCGGTGGTAAAATGTATGTTGGATTCGACTCTTCCCTACATCTGATGTGTCTAGGTGATGCTAATGCGATATGTCTGCCTCTAGTTCCTTCTTCCAGTCGATCTGCATTATCGGCTATACACTATTCCCCCTGGTCATTGCCGCCCTCCTTAGTGCCCTCGGGCTTCCTACGATCGCCCGAATTCCCGTCTACCTCGTGCTCGTAGCGTGGTCTCTAGCAGCAGGTGTCAGCATCCTGGGCGGTTCTGGAATCGTCCGTAACCGTGTCGGAATTGCGGTGTACCCGCTATTCATGTTCTATATTTCGATCGGATGCCTTTGTTTCATTAGTTAGAGGACAAGCTGCGCCTTATTCTCGAGTCAAGAGGAGCCTCTTGTTTCTCATGTTGGGGTTGAAGAACTACCTCCAATGGTCGCCTCCCACCAAGGATTCCCGTGTTAAATCGCGATTAGCACTTGTACACATATTCAATCAAATGTTATTGCCGATTTTAGCTGCCTGTGCATATGACTATAGCCAAGCATCCTGGACCTTTAGCTAAAGACTTTTCTCGAGGTAGCCATTAGATGCACATCTGAGTTGACCCGCGGTGAAATGCTGGTGATGTTTCTTAAATTATAGTATATGGCTGTCTACTCGAACAAGACCCAAGTGTTTCTTAATGTGTCGCCTTGGTCTTACTAGTAGCAATCACAAACGTGCATAATCACTAGTACGGATCTATACATAAGGGGCAAACAGCTTGGCAAGTCGAATTGGAGGCTGAGAGGATGCGGCAAAAACACCCCACTCGGCAGCATTTGGGAGGAATTAAGCCCTCAAATCGGGGGGGAGTTTTCTGGATCGGAGCTATTTTTAGAGACGGACCGACTCTTTCATGTTATAACAAAAAAAGGACGGCTATTGTCAAATTGCTGCCGAGGGGTGCCAGTTCAATCTTTCCTCAAAGCGTTTGCTGCGGGGCGAAGCGGTGACCGGACAACAACACTTCATGACTTGCTCCTTTCAACCTCCCTCTTGTTTTTCTCCCATCCCCACCAAAATCTTGACCTTGGTTCAGCTAGCCTGAGCTGCTCTGGTCGCCTATTCGATTATCGCTTCGACCCGATCTTGCGCTTCTACTGACTCAATCTATACCGTGTATCTGCAACAACAACTTCGCCCACAGCTTCGTCCTTGGTGACAACCACACACAATGGCCTCTGTTTCGGACGAGCCGAAGCCTTCGACGGGTGGTGAGTGTTTCCGACCCAAGCGCATAATTACGAGAGTATGGGGACCATGCTAGGATCCCAGCCGGTGTCGCAGGGAAGACTCGG